CTTGGGATGACCTAGAGCTCACAGAGGGGTGGGGTCACTGGTGGGTGCCTTAGAAACAGCTGGGGAGCCGGGCGGTGGTGGCGCACGCCTTTAATCCCAGCACTCCGGAGGCAGAGGCAGGCGGATCTCTGTGAGTTCGAGGCCAGGCTGGACCGACAGCCTCCAAAACAATACAGAGAAACCCTGTCTCAAAAAACAAACAAAACAAAAAAACAAAAAAAAAAAACAAAAAGAGAGAGAAAGAAACAGCTGGGGAGGGTACTGGGGGACACACAGAACGGAAAGCCACAGGGGACAATCAAAGAGAGGAGGGCTCAGCAAGGACAGAGCCTACTAGGTGCCCAGCAGTGCGGACATCTGGTTAGGAGCCTGGAGAAGAGACTCTTGGTGAGACCCAGGGTCCATGCTGGCATCACAGACTCCTGCCTGCCTGCCTGCCTGCCTGCTGGGCACTAGTGCTTTCTGCTTGAGGGTCAGCTGCCAGGAACGTGGGCCTGTGGAAGCTGCCTGTCTGCAGTTCCCTGCACATCCAGCCAGTAGCTGAAGGGCCCAGGCCCAGGTTCCCAGGGAACTTCTAGTTTGCCTGGAATCCCAGGATTGCCTGCTGGCTACAGGAGGCATGGGCAAATCCCTGGACCCGGGCAGCTCACCCTCTAGGGAACAGGGTAACTCAAGGGGTTCTTCTGGAAGGTGCACAAGTCATGAAGAGAATAAGAGGAGCCAGGAAGAAGAGGCTTGGGGGGGGGTAGCTCAGGAGACTCACAGGCCTGGGAGAGGTGACTTTGCATCCAGGCATGGATGCTGAGAAGGAAGTAGGAGCAGGTAGGAAGGGGCCGTTAGATGACAGCTGTGTGTGTGCGTGCGCGTGCGTGTGTGTGTGCGTGTGTGACAGCTGAAAGGCTGAAGAGTGGGGACACAAAGGCAGGAAGAGCAAACCGCAGCGAGGACAGAGTGGAGACTTTGCAAATGTAATGCCAACCTCCGTGCCTCCCAGTCCTACCTCAGCTCTACCGTGATGCCTGAGGCTAACCTTCAGCCAAGGCTAGTCCTGATTAGTGGCAAGCTTGAAACAAGGTCTCATGTAGCCCAAACTCAAACTCACAATGCAAAGGAGGATGGCCCTGAACTTCTGATCCTCCTGCCTCCACCTTCCAAATGCCGAATGACAGCCATGTGTCACCGTGCTTGGCGCTGGGCATGGAACCCAGGGTTGCAAGCGTTCTGGGCATGTACTCTGCTGACCGAGTCGTAACCTCATCCCTTCACCAGTGTTGTTGACATGACTTTGGAACACCAGAACCTGTGTCAGGTGAGTCTGTGGTTTGGGCTTAAGAAGCCCCCTCCCCAGGCTCTTGCTTTGAAGGCCGGGTCCCCAGCTGGTGGCGCTATTGTGATGGTTAGCAGAAGTGGGTCACTGGGTTTGGCTTTTGAAGGTCTATTTCTCCGTTTCTTAGTCCCTGCCATGTGAATAGCTTCAGTGTTAGGTATCCTCTCAGGAAACATGGAAAATCTGCAGGATCAACACCCCCATGGTGCACTGAAACCCCCAACATCAGCCCCCCAGAATACACAGATCGCCCACATTAGGGCTCTCCCCAGGGCACTTCCCCCTAGGACTCCTTAGAAGCCATGAGCACCCGCTGTCAGGGAATTTTGTTCCTGAACCATCAGAACAGCTGTGTAGTAGGAGTCGGTGGCACTGACCCTCCACGCCACAAAGGCTTGAAGACATACACCATCTCAAAACAGCAGTCTGGGGACCTCAGCTCCTCCCTCCCTCCCAGCGTCCATGGAAAAGACACTGCAGTAGCGTGTGCACCAGCACTGGGCGAGAGGAGAGAGGAAGGGCTGTCCCGGCAGCCGGTTCAGCGAGAAACCCTGCCCCACAAGCAAGTGGAGGCTGGAGAGACCGCTCGGTGGTAAGAGCACGGGCTGCTTTTCTACAGGACCCCATCGCAGCACCCACACGGCAGCTACAACGGTCTCTAACGCCAGACTCCAGAGATTTAACGCTTTCTGGCCTCTGAGGACACTAGGTACTCATGCGGTCCATGTTCATACATACACATAACATTTTAAAAAATGAAAATAAAAACAAAGAGAAACTGAGAAAAGAATTTGACAATGACGTTTGGTTTCCACATGCACATACACAAAACTTACATACACACATACACACGGCTGCCCACACACATACATATGCACACATACACACCTGCACATATACATCTACACATGTACTAATACATCTACACATGTACATACACACACCCATATATACACACGCATATACATGCCTGCACACATACCTGCACCACATGCATACATGCACCTATCTGTACATATACATACATGCAAATACATGTGCACACAGCTGTACATATATGTACACGCACATACTTGTACATACATATGTACATACACATACTTGCACATATGTGTGCACAAATACACCTGCACATACATGTACACTATGCATGCACATAAACACATCTGTACATATACACGTACATACAAGCATATATGTGTACACACACATGCACACAAGAACAAAACTAGGTTAGGGATAGGCTGCTCATAATCTCAGCACTCATGAGGTCAAGGTAGGAGGACAGAGAGTTTGGGTCTAGCCTGAGCTATGTATTGAGACCCTGTCTCAAAATATAACATCAAGAAGGTAAAGGGAGTGCCGGGAAGAGCCTCTGTCATCTGATCTGGCGACCTGAGTTTGGTTCCTGGAACCTACATGGCGAAGGTAGAGAGCTGACTCCTAGAACCGGTCTCTGTCCTCCGCGGGTACACGTGCGTTGGGTCTCTGTCCTCAGCATGTACACGTGTGTTGGGTCTCTGTCCTCCACGTGTACACGTGTGTTGGGTCTCTGTCCTCCATGTATATGTGTGTGTGGGGTCTCTGTCCTCCGCGTGTACACGTGTGTTGGGTCTCTGTCCTCCACGTGTACCTGTGTGTTGGGTCTCTGTCCTCCCTGTGTTTGTGTGCGTTGGGTCTCTGTCCTCCACGTGTACATGTGTGTTGGGTCTCTGTCCTCTGCGTGTACTGTGTGTTGGGTCTCTGTCCTCTGTGTGTACACGTGTGTTGGGTCTCTGTCCTCTGCGTGTACTGTGTGTTGGGTCTCTGTCCTCTGTGTGTACACGTGTGTTGGGTCTCTGTCCTCTGTGTGTACACGTGTGTTGGGTCTCTGTCCTCTGCGTGTACTGTGTGTTGGGTCTCTGTCCTCTGTGTGTACATGTGTGTTGGGTCTCTGTCCTCCATGTATATGTGTGTGTTGGGTTTCTGTCCTCCACGTGTACCCGTGTGTTGCACACACACAATACATAATGCTTACAGATGAATAGAGGTAATGTGACGTTTTCATGGTGACAAGAAGGGGCTGCAGCTTTGCCTCACCTGCCGGGTTATTGTCCCTCGCAAATGTTGGCAGCTTCCGAGCTGATAGTCTTCCCAAGGCTGCTGTGCCAGGAGGGAGCTCAGCCTGCTATAGCGAGGCCCCAAGACTTCAGCGCTCCCTCACCCCTGCCTCTGCGCATCTCCACAGGAAACCAAGGGTTAGAACCGCAGCTGACCTGTCCCTAACTCCTCACTTACAGGAAGCGTGACACAGAATGAAACGGTTTTGCTGTTTGAAGCAGCTACGTCCTGGGGGGTGATTTGTTACACAGTGGCGGGTGACTATAGTAATGGGGAACACAAAATATTCTCGTTTCATCTTGGCTAATAGGAAGGCAGTTTCAGGGAGTGGAAATTGTGGCCGTAACACCTTGAACTTGATTTCCATGTGGTATTTCCTACATGCCTTGGGGAAATGGCTGCTTCCATCTCTAGGGTAGGGCAAATACCAAGTAATCTAGAGAAAGTTTCTGTCTTAGGGTTTCTATTGCTGTGACAAAAACACTATGACCAGAAGGCAAGTTGGGGAGGGAAGGGTTTATTTGGCTTATACTTCAAGATCACAGTTCATCACTGAGGAAAACCAGAGCAGGAGCTGAGGCAGGGAAGGAGCTGAGGCAGAGGCCATGGAAGGTGCTGCTTACTGGCCTGCTCAGCCTGCTTTCTTACAGGACCCAGGACCGGCAGCCCAAGGTTGGCACCACCCACCATGGGCTGGGCCCTCCCCCATTATCACTGATTGAGAAAATGCTTTACATGGAGGCATTTCCTCAACCTAGGTTCGTTCGTTCCTCTCTGATGACTAGCTTGTGTCAAGTTGACACAAAACCATCCCGTTCAGTTTCTGTACCAGAAAGTGTGAAGATAAATAGGTAGTCACATCAAAAGGACACGGGAGCCCTTGGAGTGCGCTCCCAATCACAAATATGGGGACAATGTGAGAGTCAAAAAGAATTAAAGGGATGGTGGGGTTTTCGTGTGTAATGCACATGTGTATATACATACGTGCATTATCATGGTTAGCAACAGTATGACAGTGTGTTCAAGGAAAGAGAGATGGATCATGACCAATCGGCATCTTCTGCTTGTGTTTTGAGGCAGGGTCTCAAGTAGCCTAGGCACGTCTAGGGTAATCATGAACTCCTGATTGTCCTGCCCAATGGGCCTTGAAGTTCATAGCACAACCTGCCTTTAGTTTTTTCTGCTTCCTATTTGGCCAAGATGTGCAGGGCTATAGCCATGTGAGCAAAAGCTCTGCAGCCACAGTCATGAAACACAGCCATTGCCATGCCTTCCCTGCCACGATGGACTGCACCTTCCAACCTCGAGTCAAGCACATCCTCCCATGCTTAAATTGCTTCTTGTTGGACTTATGGTCACATCAGACAGGAAAGTAACCCCACAGCTAATGTCCATTGTGGAGGAATTAGACACAGGAACAAGTTAGAAACCATGAAGGCTTAGCCAGCAGATCCAGAGTATGGGGCATTCTTTTTTTTTTTTTTTTTTTTTTTTGGTTTTTTCGAGACAGGGTTTCTCTGTATTGTCTTGGAGGCTGTCCTGGAACTCGCTCTGTAGACCAGGCTGGCCTCGAACTCACAGAGATCCGCCTGCCTCTGCCTCCCGAGTGCTGGGATTAAAGGCGTGTGCCACCAACGCCCAGCAAGTGTGGGGCATTCTTGAGGACAACCAACTTACCAGCTCAATAACACTGTGCCTGCTGTCGCAGGCCTGTCATTCCATCTGCTTGAGAGGGTCAGACAGGAAGACCATGAATTCAAGGCCAGTCTGATCTACAGAAGGAATTCAAGGATAGCCGGAGCAATTTGGGAAGACCCTACCTAGAAATAAGTAAAAAGAGGTCTGGGGGTGTGGTTCAGTGGTAGAGCCCCTGCCTAGAAATCCCCAGTGAGAGGCTGGGGTGTGGCTCAGTGGTAGTGGACTTGCCAGGCATACTCGTGGTCCTGGACTCAATCTTTAGTTTCTTAAAAAGGGTGGAAAGCCTCTTCTCTTCTGAGATTACATAGCTCACCCATGAGCAGTGTGTGGTCCTGCTGCCATCCTAGTTTAGAAAATCTTTGTATTAATTTTTTTCTTTTTTTAAATACTTTTTTTTTTAGGTCAAGCAGTGGTGACGCACACCTTTAATCCCAGTACTCGGGAGACAGAGGTAGGCGGATCTCTGTGAGTTCAAGGCCAGCCTGGTCTACAAAGCTAAACAGAGAAACCCTGTCTTGAAAATCTCGTGTGTGTGTGTGTGTGTGTGTGTGTGTCTGTGTGTGTGTGTGTGTGTGTGTGTGTGTGTGTGTGTGTGTGTGAGAGAGAGAGAGAGAGAGAGAGAGAGAGAGAGAGAGAGAGAGAGAGATGCATGCATTGGGTGTTTTGCTTTATTTTGCCTGCATGTGTGTCTGTGTGAGGGTGCCAGATCCCCTGGAACTGGAATTACAGACAGTTGTGAGCTGAATGTGAGCCCTGGAAATTGAACCCAGGAAGAGCAGCCAGTGCTCCTAACCTCTGGGTCATTTCTCCAGCCCTGTATTAAATGTTTGAAGATTTATTTATGCGTATGATGTTTTACCTGCATGTATGTCTGTGCATCATATGTGTGCAGGGTCCATGGGAGCCAGAAGGAGCTAGATCCTCTGGAATTGTCGTGAGCTGCCATGTGGATGCTGGTAATTGTCCTCTGTAAAAGCAGCCTGTGGCGCCAGTGCCACAAGCAAGTCCAGGGTATCAGGAAAAGAGAGACCAGACGTACAAACTATTTGTACTAAGAGAATGCATGTGCTACCTTTATTGCCAGGAGAGTGTGTGTGTGTGTCTTCATTGCAAGTGCTAAGAGGTCTCTCTCTTGTAGGAGGGAGGAGCTTTATATACAGGTTTACAGCACAGTGGAAAAACCCCAGGTAGAAGAGATCGTTGTTTTCCTCCTGCTAGATGTTGATGTCAGAGGGTCAAGGCCAGGGCAGTAAGCCAGGACTAGAAAACAGGAAGCACTTGGACTGGAAAACAAGTTGCACTTGTAGGCTGACCAGCAACTCAGAGACCCCATGGGGCTGGGGCCCAACAGCAGCCAGTGCTCTTAACTGCTGAGCCATCTCTCCAGCCCCTGAAGCATCTATTTAAGGCCTAAGAGGTAGTCTTTGGACAACTGGCATGGTGTGAACTTGGACTTCCTCAGAAGCATCAATGATGGTGCAGCTGTCGCCAGATGGGAAAGGAAACGACACTGCAGTCTCAGGGTGGCGTCTTCCTCTCGGGGGTTCTCATGGAGACACTCATGTCTGAAAAGCTCACAGTGAAGGATGCAGGCTGTGGGCGTCCTGGTTTCCAGAGAAATGACAGGTTTGAACACTTGTTCCTCAGTTAGTTATGCTGTTGTGGGAAACTGTGAAACCTTTAGGAGGTGGGGTCTAGCTGGAGCAAGTGGGTCATGAGGGGGTGGGACTTAAAGCTTTACATCTTTGCCTGCTGTGGAACAGAGCATTCGTTAAACTATGTAAAGATGTGTTGCATTTGTTTGTGTTGCAGAATAATTGCTTAACTATGTAAAGATGTGTTGCATTAGTTTGTGCTGCAGAATAATTGCTTAACTATGTAAAGATGTGTTGCATTTGTTTGTGCTGCAGAATAATTGCTTAACTATGTAAAGATGTGTTGCATTTGTTTGTGCAGCAGAATAATTGCTTAACTATGTAAAGATGTGTTGCAGTTCACCTTTCCAGCCTTGACACCTGACTGGTCTAATAGGAAGCTAAACATCCAATAGCTAGGCAGAGGGGGGATGGGTGGGGCTGGTAGCAGAGAGAAAAGGAGAGCCAGCCATGGAGGAAGCAGGACGGTAGGACAAACAGACACAGGTGAGGTAAATGAGCCTCAGGGCCATACACAGATTAATAGAAATGGGTTAATTTAAGTTGTTTTTTTTTAAGCTAGCTAGAAACAAGCCTAAGCTAAGGCTAAGCATTCATAATTAATAGTAAGTCTCCTGGTCATGGTTTGGGGCTGGCAGTCAAAGAAAGCCCTGCTCTCTGCCCCAGCTCCACTTTCTGAGTTGTCAAGACGTGCAGAGTCCCAGCCCCTGCTCTCTCTGCCATGGAACCTCCTGTTACTGTGTCTTCCTTCCATGGCAGGCTGTGTCCTGGAACTCTCTCTGTAGACCAGGCAGGCCTCAGACTCACAGAGATCCGCCTGCCTCTGCCTCCCGGGTACTGGGGTTAAAGGCGTGCGCCACCAACGCCCGGCCTTGAAGTGGCTTTTTGCCAGGTGTTTCTCACAAGCGAGAAAGGCCCTTAAGGTTATGAATTTTCCAACATTGTACATATCTGGATGTTTCCCATGAGCGTGTAAGGGGACATGAGCTGCAGGAACACTCAGGGCAGATTGTCGCCCACAGTGACCCCTCCCTCCAGCATAGCACTCTCCCTCTACACAGCGTTGGAGATGCCAGCTACCGCCCATTCAGAATCAGCGTCTCCATGCCCTCCCTGCAGACAGCACACCATATTCGTGTTCATTTCCACGAACCTTCTAAATGTCTCACTGCCCTGGTGTCCTGTTCTTCCCTCACACACAAGCTGGGCTTCTGCCTGCCTGCTCTGGGCCACCATGGACACACCAGGGCGGATCCAATGGCTCTCTTGGCCCTTTGTCTTCCTTCATGCCTCTCTTTACGGCCGCGGGCCCTCCTCCAAGTCCTCGTCACCTGCCCATCACCATGGAGGGGCTTCTTAGTCTGACTCTCCTTTCTGCCCCTAAGCCTGAATATAGCTCACAGTCCAAGGTTTCTGTACATTCCCCTTCTCCCCCGGTGGTCCCACCATGCAGCGACCTCACAGGCACTCATCTGATGCTTCCCAGGGTGGGTCCCCAGTCCCATCTCTGCTCAAGCTCCTCCCATATGTGGACACGCCGATGCTTGACAACCCTTCCCTCTCTGATGGGTCAAGCAGAGCTTACACAACCATGCTAGCAGCCCACACCCTGGGTCCATGCCAACCAACCTCCCAGTGCGACACATTAGCTCAGCTGAGGAAAGAATGCAGGAAATCCCTTTTCTCTTGCCCAGGCCCAGTCCACCATCCATTGCCACGGCTCTACATACAAAATGCACTCATTGCAATAGTCCCTTCCTTCTGTAACATCTACTACCCCAGTCGTAAAGTCACCCTCTTTCCTGTGGCCAGCTGCAGATTTCCTCGTCACAAGCCTGCAGGCCAGCCCTCACAGGGCAACTGGAGTGAACTTAGTGACAAGTAATGCCCATCGTGCTATCTCTGAGGATAGCCCACAGCTCTCAACCATGTCTTACAGTTGAAGTCCCCACCTTGTCCGGATCGTGCTCAGCCCCAGGCTCTGACCTGTCCGGCTCCAGGGAGCTTGGCCATCCCAGCACCCGCAGCAGCTGCTCTTTGCCCAGGGTCCTCTGTGCCTGGCTCTCGGTCTGACTGCCCTCTTGCCCTCCTGGCCATGCTCTCATCCACAATGAGGTTTCCCGTTCGCTTCTTTGCTACTCACTCACAGGCTTCCCGCCCTAGGAGTAAGCCCAAGAACCAAGGCCTGCCTCACGCCACTGACTGTTCCCTTCCTGACTCCAGGGGACATCGGGCAAACCGTGATGTCCATTAAGTGTGTTGATATACATACTATGTAGCCCTGCGTGCCTTTTAAATGTCCCCTTGTAGACAAAAGTCATCTCTCAGGGACCAGGGAAGATGGCTCAGAAAGGTGTTCTTGAGAGCACAAGTACTTGAGTTGGTTTCCTATCACCCATGGGGTAAACATAGCCATTCATGGTGGCCTACCCTGGAGAGGTGGGGAAGGGGAGTCCTGGGGCTCATGGACCAGTCAGTTTAGCTCACTGGGTGAGCTCCAGGCCACCAAGTGAGTGAGAGACCCTGTCAAAGGAATGCCTGAGAAAGGACAACCAAGGGTGTCCTCTGCCTTTCACACAGATGCACGCCCGTGAACACAGTACGTCATTCCACACAGATGCACGCCCGTGAACACAGTACGTCATCCTCTAGCTTAACAAGACATTAGCTACTTTTCTTGAATGTTCTAGGCGTGATGGAGGCTCCTATGCTTTCTCAGCCCCTGGTGACCCTGTGAGGTGGGTGTGAGGAGACCCAGTTGATTCTGAGGGGTCAGCTTTTGGAGCCCGCGTGTACACTCTGCGGGATTCCCACGCATATGCTCCCTCCACTTTGCAGCGCTATTCTCCTCATTATAGATACGGCATGTCGGGGAGCTCCTGTTCCTGCAGACGACTGAGATGTCACGGGCCTGAGATGGCACAGCCATGAGGTGACATGCAGGTCCCAACACTGGACACAGTCCATGAGACAATGCACACAAGCACTCAACACTGGACCGGAGAGGTGACCTGTGCGAGTGCCCACCATGAGGAAGAGACATGGTCCACCCGGGAAGGTTTTGAAGGGAATGGAAGTTGTAGTGTGGAGAGGAACTACAGGAGGCAGGTATAGTCGGCCTCAGTAACAACACAGACTTGTTATGAAAGCTCGGCCTACTGCTTAGGCTTGTCCCACTGGCTCTTATAACTTACTTTCTGCCTTGTGGCTCTATTACCTCATCTCTGGTGCCCACCCGTTTGCTCTGTGTCTAGCTGGTGACTCTTCCTTTCTTCCCAGGGCTCTGCGGGTCTGGGAATCATGCCTAGCCATTGGCCGTTCAGTTTTTTATTAAACCAGAGTGACACTTCTTCACAGTGTACAAAAAGATTATTCCACAACAGGCAGGTGCCAGTGACCAGTGCAGGATCCCAGCTTCGGGCTTGTGGTCAAGGACTGGGATGTGTCTTGGGCGGGACTCCAGGAGGCCCCAGAGTGAGCAGATGCTTTGGAGAGAGAAGCAAACAGAAACGAGAGGCATCAAGTTCTTGGAGCCTGGTGTAGAGGTCCTGGCCTGGCCAAAGCAGAAGGGCCTTGCTGAGATCCAGATGTTGACAGCTTGTAGGGCCTCGTGAGCACCTCGGAGTGAGGGGAAAATCCCAGGACTGCCACAGCAGTGAGTAAAAACTGAGCCTGACAATTCCCACAATGTCTTCTAGGAGCAACCTTTGGAATAAGACAGTGTGAGGCAGGTTCCATGCCTTGTGCGTCCACAATGCCTGGCAGTCAGATAATAGCAAACATTGAAAGACAGAAG